GCATGATGTTTTCAGGCTTCATTCACCTTGTAGCATGAGTTAGTACATCATTCCTTTTTTATGGTTGTATAATATTCAATTGCATGGATATACCACATTTTTATTTATTCATTCATCAATTGTTGGTCATTTGTTTTGTTCCACGTTTTTGGCTATTATGAATGATGCTTCTTTGAACATTTGTGTACAAGTTTTTGTGTAAACATATGTTTTCAATTCTCTTGGGTATATATCTAAGAATGGAATTTCTAAGTCATATGGTATATGCTTAACTTTTTCTAAAGTGGCTGCATCATTTTACGTTTTCATCAGAAATGTGGTGAAGGTTCTGATTTCTCCACATTCTCATCAACACCTGTTCTTCTCTAACTTTTTGCTCATAGCCATCCTAGTGGGTGTGAAGTGGGATTTCACTGTGGGTGTGATTTGCATTTCCCTAATGACTAATAAAGTTGAGTGCTTTTTCATGTGCTTATTAGCCGTTTGTATATCTTCTTTGGAGTAATGTCTATTCAAAGCTTTTGCCGATTTTTAAATTGGATTATTTAGTTTTCATTGTCAAACTGTAAGAATTCATTATGTATTCTGAATACAAGACCTTTATTACATATAGGATTTGCAAATATTTCCTCCCATTGTGAATTGTGTTTTCACTTTTTTCTTTATAACAGCTTTATTGATATGTAATTCACATGCCATAAATTCATCATTAAAGTGTACAATTCCATTTATTTTAGTATATTCACAGAGTCGCTATACAATTATCACCCCATTTTCCTGATAGTTTTCTTTGAAGCACAAAAGTTATTAATTTTGATGAAGTCCAATCTATCAATTTTTTTCTTTGGTTGCTTATGTTTTTGGCGTCATTCATATTTTTTTTTTTTTTTTTTTTTTTTTTTTCCTTGCATTATGCGGGCCTCTCACTGTTGTGGCCTCTCCCATTTGCGGAGCACAGGCTCCGGACGCGCAGGCTCAGTGGCCATGGCTCACGGGCCCAGCCGCTCCGCGGCATGTGGGATCTTCCCGAAACGGGGCACGAACCCGCGTCTCCTGCATCGGCAGGCGGACTCTCAAGCACTGCGCCACCAGGGAAGCCCCGTCATTCATATTTAAGAAACCATTGCCTAACCCAAGATCATAAAGGTTACACCTACATTTTAAGAGTTTTCTAGTTTTGGTCCTTACATTTAGGTTTATGGCCCATTTGAGTTAAAGCTTATATACAGTGTAAGGTAGGAATCCAACTTCATTCTTCTACATGGGAATATCCAGTTGTCCCAGCACTGTTCGTTGAGAAGACTATTCTTTCCCCATTGAATTGTCCTGGCACACTTGTCGAAAATCAGTTGGCCATAAATGTATGGGTTTACTTCTGGACTCAATTCTATTCCATTGATCTAAATGTCTGTTCTTATACCAGTACTAAACAGCCTTGATTTCTGTAGCTCTGTAGTAAGTTTGAAATCAGAATGTGTTAGCCCTCCAACTGTTTTTCTCTCCAAGACTGTGTTGGCTATCTGACTATTACATTTTCATATTAACTGTAAGAAAATTAAAGTAAGAAACTTCAAACTGTCTTCTAAAGTGGCTGCATCATTTTGACTCTGCAATGAATAAGAGTTCCTGTTGTTCTGAATCCTCATCAGCATTTGGTATTGTCAGTTTAGCCATGCGGGCCTCTCACTGCCGTGGCCTCTCCCGTTGCGGAGCACAGGCTCCAGACACGCAGGCTCAGCGGCCATGGCTCCCGGGCCCAGCCGCTCCGCGGCATGTGGGATCCTCCCGGACTGGGGCACGAACCCGTGTCCCCTGCATCGGCAGGCGGACTCCCAACCACTGCGCCACCAGGGAAGCCCACCTCATTGCTTTTTTAACTTCCATTCCCTAATGACAAATAACGTAGAGCATCTCTTCATATGCTTGTTTGTCCTGAGTATATATATATTTTTTGATGAGGTGTCTGTTCATACCTTTTGCCCATTTTTTGACTGGAGTGTTTGTTTTCTTGTTGTTTTTAAGAGTTCTTTGTATATTTTGCATACAAGTCCTCTATCAGATACATGCTTTGCAAATATTTTCCCCCAGCCTGTAGCTTGTCTTTTTGTTCTCTTACTTGAATATTTTGAATTAAAAAGCCCGTCTTGGTAAGCTTTAACAATGCACCTGCTTAAAAACCATTAAAGGGTACCCATTCAAGACTGCTGCTCTGTGAATTACAAAAAGGGACTCCACCTGGAAAGTTCCAGAATGAGGTGAAGATATGCATTTGGATCTCATTCCCCATCCACTTCCTTGGCTGGTGCCTTTGTGCAAGACAAAAACTGCACAATCACACTGGAACAACCCACATTGATCTTAAGTGTATCCATGATAGACTTATAGAACCCTCCATGATAGGGCTTTTGCTTATTCTCCAGCCACATCTCATCCTTCTACCCTTCCTCTCTACAGCCTCAAAAGCCTTATCTCAGCAACTTGAAGGAGCTTTGCTTCCAGCCTCAAGACTTTCATATGTTTCTTCTGCCAGTGTGGCGGGCTGACTTTTCAGATGACCCCCAGTGATCCTTACCTCCTGGTGTTCATGGCCTTGGTGGTCCCCTTCCCTTGTGAGTGGCCTAGACCTTGTGACTTGCTGCTAGTGAATAAAGTAGAGCAAAAGTGATGGAATATCACTTCCAACATTAAGTTGTAAGTGACTAACTTCTGTCTTGCCTGCACATTCTCTCTTCCTCTCTCACCTGTTCATGCTAATGAAGCCAACTGACATGTTGCATGCTCCTTTTGGAGAGACTCGTGTGGCAAAGAACTAAGAAAGGCCTTGGGCCAATAGCTTACGAGGAGCCGAGGCCTCAGTCCAACAGCCTGCGAGGAACTCAGCCCTGCCAATAACCACCTGAGTCATACTGGAAGCAGATGAGGCCTCTCTTTTGCAACATTCATCATCATTGCAATTAGTTCATTATCTGAGTATTCATTTCCTATCTGTCTTCCCCAAGACTGTCAGTTCCAAGTCAGAGCTGGCTATATTTTTTCCATACCGAATTCCCAGGACCAAACAGGGTGCCTAACACAGAGTGGACATATAGCAATTGTAGAGTGAAAAAAATGAATCAACAGTTGAAGGAATTAATAAATGAAGTACACTGAAGCCTCATAGGTCAGAAAGGAGGCAGCAAAAAAAAGCCCAGTGCCCTAGTAAAGACATTTATAAAAGTCCCACAACTCCCAGGGTTTATTTTTTTAAATATCAAAAAAAACCCCACCCCAAAACCCAAAAATCAAACCATGTCAACATGTTCTAGATAAAAATTTGTTATGACAGTGTGTAACCAAATGCTCTATGTAAATAAAAAGTCCAAGAAGGGTTCATTCATAGTCCAGGATTTTTTTTTTCTTTTCTTCCCCCCTTTTTTTCTCTCCCCCTCTTTTTTTTTTTCCTTTTCTTTTTCTTCCCCCCCCACCTCAGGATTTTGATTTTTAAAAACTTTGCAGTTTTAACAGGAATAACAGGAATTGACCTGGAACATAAAGGATGAGAGTGAAGACAGAGTGCCTGTTGAACAGAAGCTGCCCCACATGATCGACAGGCTGGAGCTGCTGTTCCTCTGCTCTTGATATTAAATCTGGAAAAAAGCATCCAGTTCTTTCCGTTAAACGAATTTTTAGCTAAATGCAGAAAGGAGGATTTTTGAAGTTTGGGGATAAACCTGTGGCCACAGAAAGGTAAATTCAGACCAGTTATTTTAGTTGGCGAAACTCCTATAGGACTTTTTAAATGATGATACTATATAATCAGCAGCCAATGAAAGGGTTTCATCAGCGGGTCCTAAGCTTCACTGCCTACCAAATAATATCCAGCTCACTCCCTGGTGGGGCATGTGGAGGCTCGGCTGACCTTTGCAGCCCGCTCTTCTGCTCCCCCTCACACACCTCCCCCCTCGCACACCCATGGCTCTTGCCTTCCTCGGTCACACCTTTTCATCTCTGTGCCTTTGCACATGGTCTTCCTCTGACTGGCAGTCCCCCTTTAGTGCCACCCAGTCCCTGCAACACCAGATTCAAATCTCAGTGCTCCCGATTCCCCCAGAAGTGAGGGCTCTACTGATCTGTCTCAAAGGGCACTTGGATTTACCTCTTTAATGGCTTCTAACACATTCAATGTTGTATCATTAGCAGGCATGTGTTTTACTGATCCTCTCTACTACTCAGACCAGAGGATATGGTCTCTGTCTTGACCTTTTTTCCTTACATTTCCCAGCACAAGGCTTTGAATGCAGCAGGGGCTTGAAACATATGTGTTGTTAAATGAATAAATGAAAAAAATGAATGAAACATATATGCTAAAAGGCTTTTAAATGAGTCAGATGTACTTTATATCCCAATGCCAATAATAATATAGCCATAGAAAGAGATTTTTTTTTTTTTTTTTTGCTGTACAAGGGCCTCTCACTGTTGTGGCCTCTCCCGTTGCAGAGCACAGGCTCCGGACGCGCAGGCTCAGCAGCCATGGCTCACGGGCCTAGCTGCTCTGCGGCATGTGGGATCTTCCCGGACTGGGGCACGAACCCGTGTCCCCTGCATCGGCAGGCCCCAGAAAGAGATTTAATGTTAAAGATATTTAATTTGCCTTTTTATGAAATTTTGTTTTCAAATGTACCAATTACACTCTCTCATGAAACAAAAAGGAACTTAGAAATGAATAAACAGAATGTTTCTTCACTAGTCCACTAGAACACTGACTAAATGTCCTAATACATTACTCTAAATGGTCATGTAAAAGCCAAGGAAATAAATAAATAACAAAGCAAACTATTAAATATAGGAAAATGAGCTTTTCAAAAGCTTTCTGGAATTCTTTAGTCTATTGTTGAACTTTTAACAAAATAATTTGAACAATTTTTAAAGTTTAATAATAAACACTAGTCCTGTATAAAGTGATTAAGTCAAAGTAGTTTACTTCAAATACAGGAATTAATTACAGAAATGGAATGTACAGATTATTTAGGGAATGTTTGAGAGGACAGCGTTCTCATGACTAAGTCCAGTGTATCCTGAATCCTCATGTTATTTCTTTCTATCATGGAAGACTGTCTCCCAGACTTCATGCTTTCCTCTGTATCGAGGGGGATAAGGGTATGGGGGTTGAACTGACATCGAGGCTCCCCCAGGATGCCAACTCTGTGGAAAGAATTATTGGCATAGCTGAATATTTGCTGAGGCCAAAGACTAAGGTATTGGGTTGGCCAAAAAGTTTGCCTGGGTTTTTCTGTAACATCTTATGGAAAAACCCAAACAAAGTTTTTGGCCAACCCAGTATATGGCTGACTTGTGCATGTGTATAAAGCTAAGACTGATACACACACACACATACACACACACACACATCTATTTCTTGAATATGGGTTCAAAAACTCGACTTATAGCAAGATTTTGTACTGGTCCTTCCCTTATTTCCCAAAGATGATTCTTCTAACAGGAAAACCTCAGTCTTACAAAGTCTGCTACTCACTTCACCAAATTAGAACTATTTGAAGTCTTGCATAACTTTCTAGTTTTTTCTAGTCTAGATGGGTATACCAAGAGCTGATCTGGAAAGAAAACAGGTCGAGAGGAACAGGGAAGACGGTGCTTCCACCTTTGTTCAGCTTTCTGGCAGAGGTACCATGTCTGAGCCCTTGCCCCTCCTGGGTCCCACCTAGGAAGCAACACTCAGCCTTCTCTCCTTCCTCTCTCCTTGGGCCACTTACATTGGCATGTGCACAGAGTCCAGATTTTCCTTGTGCTCTTGCATCCGGACTGGGAATTTCATGCCTACTTGACGGTACTTTTTCTCAGAGATATTCTGAGCTTTTTCTCTGAGAGAGGGCAGCAGAGTAGATATGACTGGAGAGCGCATGTTAATGGCTTTTTTCATCGCTGGGCGCTTTGCCATCATTCTCCTGGGGGTGGGGGTGACATTTAGGTCACATCATCTTGTTTTCTCGAAATGTCCTTGAGCTTAGGAGAGTCAAAAGGTCATACCTGAATTGTACAAAAGTCATGCGTTTCTTTTCCCCTCCTGACTCTTCATCCTCGCGCTTCCTTCGAGGAATGTTGAACATGTCGGAACGAAAGAGCCTTCCTATTTCTTCCTCAATCTCTGTGAAGTGTTGATGTCGGAAGACAATCCAGGCTACATACGTACAGAAAGTATAAAAGGACTACAACAGAAACAGACGAGAATCGGAACCCACAGTTACGACATGAAAAGCTCCCACCTGTCTATAGAACACTACTAAGTAGACACAAACCCAGGTGCCCTGCTCTCTACACATGCCTGAAGGGCTGTGGAAAATTATACATGTACTCACCTTTGCAGAAGGAAAATCAGACCAAAGATTTAAGGAGTGGCACACAGCTTATTAGTATCCTTTGTAGAAAGGATATTCATTAAAAATAGGTGCCTGACAAATGTCTGTTGGTTGTTGCTATACTTCATGTTTCATATCAAAGAGCAGAGCCCCTAAACGTAAGTGACTCACCTCAAAGAATTTCCAGTCTTTTTGTGTATCTGATATTTTCCCCCTGAAATATAACAAATTACAACTATAGGTTGGAAAGGGAAGTTCAGTACTTCAGTGATCTAGGCAACCGCTTATCTTCAAAAGGCCTTTTGCAGATCATTACCTGTGGTCCCATACCTATTTAGTCACATAAATGCTACCAAAAGGCATTGATAAGGCTTCCCTGGTGGCGCAGTGGTTGAGAATCCGCCTGCCGATGCAGGGGACGCGGGTTCGTGCCCCGGTCCGGGAAGATCCCACATGCCGCGGAGCGGCTGGGCACGTGAGCCGTGGCCGCTGAGCTTGCGCGTCCGGAGCCTGTGCTCCGCAACGGGAGAGGCCACGACAGTGAGAGGCCCGCGGACCGGGGAAAAAAAAAAAAAAAAGGCATTGATAGTGAGTGCCAATGTCTTTTTCTTCAACTTCTCAGGTTACCCAGATCAAAACCTCTAGTGTTTGGTCAAAAGTTAATCAACATATCCTGTGATAAACCATATGGAAAAGAACATGAAAAAGAATGTATATATAGATGTATAACTGAATCAATTTGCTATACAGCAGAAATTACCACAACATTGTAAATCAACTATCAAAAAAACTAAAAACAACCCCACTAAAGTGGGGTTCATAAAAAAGCTAATCGATATAAATTCAGGATAAACAAGCCAGCCCTCGCTGTATTCTTCCAAATGTTTCTAGTAATGTGTTAGGGAGGTGAGGAGAATGGAAAGGTGGTGAAGAGGTAACACAAGCTGTTAGTAGGTATGGAAGTAAAGAACTAGAGGCTAAGTCTAAAATAAAGAAAAAGAAAAAGAAATCTTAAACAATGGTTATGGCTATTGGGTACAGAAAGAATCAGAAACAAAACAGACACAGGTCGATCTATGCCATACAATCAACTGGCTGGGAAGAAAAGTGCGCTCTTCCTTCTGAATGAAGTATGTAGACCGAGCCTTGTCTCTTAAAGGTAGGCAAACGCCCAAGAGTCCTTGCAACACAAATTCAGTGTTAAGGGTACTGGCATGGGCACACTTAGTAAACTTGGCCTCCCTCTCCATTCAGAACACAGGCCATTCTAATTCTGATTGCCAGCCTTGGGAAAGCAGGCATGGCCAGGGGAGGACTTGAGAGTTGAATGACGGGGCTATGCACCTGCAGTCACTTGATCAGTCTTGGGGGCCAAGGCCAGACCCAGGGCACTCCAAGGTTGATCCTGGGTCTGCTTCTGCTTTTGCTTTGGGTTTCCTTAGAGTAACTGACTCCTAGGATTGGCCCTGGTATCAGGTTCTCCAGAACTGTACCGACTCCCATGGTCTGGGGAAGTTGACCCAAACTCCTCAGGACTTCCAGCTTTTTCACAGAGACTTCATGGTCTGTATGGGCCCAAACTAGCCCTCCATTTGGAGGAACCACTGAAGAGGTGGTTCAGCTTTTACTGGGGTGGGTCCCTCCCCTCTGGCAGATGCTTCATTTCCTCGCGTGCAAGTCTTCAACAAAGAATTAAGGCAACAGTAATTACAGTGAACGTTTACTAAATATGGACTATGTGCCAAATACTATGCTAAGCCCTTTACATTTATGATCACATTTAATTCTCACAAGATTGCATGATTATTCTCACTTTACAGGTGGGGAGACTGATGTTGAGACTGAACTCCAAAGACATATATTTAATTAGGGACAGAGTCTGAACTAAAAATCAGGCCTGTCAGGTCTCCACATTTGTCCTTGTAACCCAGAATGCTAGGAAAATAAGCTTTTTCTTTAAAATATTTTAGAGATGAAACCATTAAACAACAGAACCCAGCAGAAACTTTTTAGGACAAGCCTCCTTCTGTGTCACCTAAAGCCTTTACCCAACAAGAGTGCTTCTGTGGTATTCCCGCCCTTCCACTGACTCTGCCAGCTGAAACCAGAGACCATGCACACCTGTCAAGCGGAAACCAACCAAACTCTGGTTTTGGAATACTGAGTTGGCCTGTGTCCTTGAGAGAAGGTTTAGAGCAGCATTTATGCTGGCACAACCCAAACCAGCACCATCTTAGCAAGGTTTTGAAATGACAGAGTGATTGACCAGGAAACACACACTTTCTCTCCCTTTCTTTCGTTTTTCTTTTTTTAAACATTAGAAGAGAAGGTACCATGAACCTCCTCTCCTTTCCCTCAAGTTGTCACCAAACTGGGACTTCTTTCTCTCTTAAAGTCCAGAGTAAACTGATATAGCTCACAGTGCAGAAATTAAGAACAGGATGTAGTGGGTTTCTTCTGACCATTCTTTTTTTTTTTTTTTTTTAATTTTCTTTTGACCATTCTGATTTAGCTCTGCGTGTAAAACTGAAATGAGTTCAGGAAATGGAGACAGAAAATGAGTACATTTGGGAATGAGCACATTTAAATCTTCCAGTTCATCTCTTGCTGGTGAATCCTGAGTTGTTTTCCTTTTTTAAAAAAATTATTTTTATATTTTAATTTTATACATATAAAATACCTATATATTCTATAATTTTAATAAGTACATAATAATTATAAATTGGTTATAAATTTAGAAATGTACTGAGTATAAACAACAAACTCAGGCCCTCCAAATCCTCTACAAATTGAAACAGGGTTGATAACAGCACAATCCAATAGAAATATAATGCAAGCCACAAATGAAACTTAAAACTTTCTAGGAGCCACAGTAAAAAGAAACAGGTGATATTAATGTTAATAACATATTGTACCCCAACCCCCCAAATGTTATCATTTCAATATGTAATCAATATTTTAAATTATTAATGAGATATTTTATTCATTTTTAAACTTTTTGTATAGTGTATATTTTACACTTACAGCACATTTCAATGTGGACCAGCCACATTCCAAGTGCTCAATAGCCACACGTGGCAACTGGCTGCCGTGCTGGTCAACAAAGATGCTGTACATTTACCCGTGAAGACGGAATCCAAAGGAAAGAGGCGAAAGCCAAGCTGTTGGTAAACCCAGAGATTGTCAGTGGCCTGTTATGTGCTTTCTTATTCCTTCTTGCTATATTAGACTCTTAGCTCTAAACCAAAATGAGGAGAGCTTATATTTTTAGTCATTCCTGAAGGGGTGCAAAGCCTAGGGCCAGACCCATGGGGTTCTGGGCTGGAGAGAGAAAAAAAACTGTGCTCCCACTTGCCCCCTGCTGCCTTAGGTGAAGTCAGGTTTAAATGATGGTCAAGGCCTGCTCTGTACAAGGGAAGAGAAATTTCAAAGGAATGTGTTTGGGGGAGGGAAAAGAGGCCTTGGTGGAAGTGACTGGAGGTGGCAGGGGGAGGGCTTAAAGATGATTTAAACACCTGAGCTTCAAAGAAACGCCTTTCTCCCCATCCTCGCCCCCACAGCCAGACTCTTTGGTCACCGGTCAGGTGACAGCTGCACTGACCACAGAGGAGGAGGGGATACCTCCTAGGTAGAGGTGGGGTTGGAGCCAGAATTGGCCATAACCAAAGATCAGATCTAATTCTATGGCTTGTGCCATGAGGAGGTTTTCTTATCTACCATGGAAAACATGTTCATCAAAATTTTGCCAAAGCTTTTGTAATATCAGGATTTCACAGATGCATTTATTTATTTATTTATTTATTTATTTATTTATTTTGCGGTACGCGGGCCTCTCACTGTTGTGGCCACTCCCGTTGTGGAGCACAGGCTCCGGACGCGCAGGCTCAGTGACCATGGCTCACGGACCCAGCTGCTCCGCAGCATGTGGGATCTTCCCGGACTGGGGCACGAACCCGTGTCCCCTGCATTGGCAGGCGAACTCTCAACCACTGCGCCACCAGGGAAGCCCCACAGATGCATTTAGAATAGAAAGGCACGTCCTCCTACTTCTAAAGAAACATGAAAGCACTAAATTAACAGCCTCCAAATTGCTGGTTCTACTGAAATCGTTAATTTATCTCCAGGGATAAAGGTGTTCTAGTCCAATATTAAGTATGCATACATTAGAGAGAAAAATCAGAAAATACACGTGAAAATGTTCTCAGGCGAATATCAGCTTGTTCACATTGGGAAGAAGTTAAACAATGATATGTTAAAGTCAGGTAATCACTCACAACTGGCAAAAACATTGTCCTTATCTTCTCCTAGTTAAAAACAACCAAAAGTGAAATATAAACTTCATTCAAGGACACAATCAACACCCACGGCCAATTAACAACTTTTACTGGTAAGGACATGCTATAAGCTGTTTTCCTCAATATCCTTTGTTCAGCAATTTGACCTGCATAAAATTTGTTACGTGAATGGTGGCTGGTGAGCTCCAAACTGATTCTTTTCCAGACTGCTATCCAACAAGCAGGAGGAAAGTAGGTGACATTGCCTACAACGGCAAAAAGACCAACATCTCCTGGAAATGAGCTAGTACTAAACTGAGGCAATCACTTACTCGCAAACATGAGCTCCTTTAAAAGTGTGTATAAAAAATATATTGTAAGAAAAAGGTACTGTTAAAAGTACAACTTAAGTGGAGGTTCAATAGCTAGGAAACTAAAAGATATGATAAAATCTCTAATTATGCGGCTTCCCTGGTGGCACAGTGGTTGAGAATCCGCCTGCCAATGCAGGGGACATGGGTTCGAGCCCTGGTCCAGGAAGATCCCACGTGCCGTGGAGCAACTAAGCCTGTGCACCACAACTACTGAGCCTGAGCTCTAGAGTCCATGAGCCACAACTACTGAGCCTGCGTGCTGCAACTACTGAAGCCCGCGTGCCTAGATCCCGTGCTCCGCAACGAGAAGCCACAGCAATGAGAAGCCCACGCACCGCAACGAAGAGTAGCCCCCACTTGCCACAGCTAGAGAAAGCCCAAGCGCAGCAATGACGACCCAACATGGCCAAAAATAAATAAATTTATTTTTTAAAAATCTCTAATTATGATACATTTACAGTTTGTTTTTCATCCCCAAATTAGTTTTCAATGCCTATGTTCTTTTAAAAATTGAACAATATGAGCAATAAATTTAAAAAATTTTTTTAGAGTAGGTGTTTTTTTAA